TGCTTGTGTGTATGTGCTATGTGTGTATGTTGCGCGCGCGCGTGTGTGTGCGTCCGTGCTTGTGTGTATGTGCTATGTGTGTATGTTGCGCGCGCGCGTGTGTGTGCGTCCGTGCGTGTGTGTATGTGTTATGTGTGTATGTTGCGCGCGCGCGTGTGTGTGCGTCCATGCTTGTGCGTGCGTGCGTGTATGTGTGTGCGTCCGTGCTTGTGCATGCGTGTATGTGTGTGCGTCTATTCTTATGTGTATGAACAGCCCGCTGCGTGTATATACACACACACGAGGTAAACTGTATTTTTCTTCTATTGAGTGTTTGCACGGCGCGCTGCGAAATTGCTGATAATAATAGGAATAAATAGAGTTTCGCGTCGAAACTCGAGAATGATAACAAAAACAGCAAAGAGTGCGAAAAACGCCATTATTAGGTCGTTATTGTCGGCAATAGCCCGTACTCCAGATCCAACACATCTCCACAGGTACCTCACTGCGTTTTTACGGAGCTGCCTAAAATGGTGCAAGGACAACTGCTAGTTAGCACACACTTCATTTGCGAATGTTCACCCTGACAATATTTCTACTGGCAAGACCGCCGCCTCCCCCTAGACAATATATCGCTAGTCAAAGTCCGCCCTAGACTATCTCACCCGTGTTGGTAGAAGGACACAGGACCAGCGGGATAGCACCTTGCCCTAATAAAGTACAGCATGCCCGTAAAACCCGTTTCCCTAACGTTCTCTTCGCGTATATATGTCATTTGAATCGTGTCGTGCAAATCTCATTTGCGGTCCTCCTCCCAAGTCCCCACATATTCACTCACGCAACCCACGAAGTGTATATAATATAGAGATATGTGATCACGACGTTTTAACTTTATCGCATGTAATTTATTTTTGTGATAATAATTTTCAGAGCATATTTCTCTACGAGTACCTGCCCGCTCTACTGAATGAACCGACGGACGAATATAAAGGTAATCTATTTACATATCTTGTGGCCTTTCTAAATGTTACGTAAGATGATATATCTTCATTCGTCATGCAAGTGCACCTCGCATGTCGAACGGCATTAATACATCAGGAGGTCAGAAACAAGATTAGTCTTAAGATTAGTTTTAACAATAACTTTTATCTCATAGACCGTTTACAGAAACGATGGTAAAGTTACGAATTTGTCATTATAGGCAGTGTGTATAGAGGTCCGATCCAAGAGAAAAAAGTCAATGTTAAGACTGACGTTGAGACAAATATTTTGTTTTGCCTTGAGGCTCGTTGTCATTTTCATCCCGTATAAAACCTCTAAAATCTAAGTCTATCTAAAAATCTAAAATTCCAAGTATAAAATTTCGGAATCGGTTACTTGCAGGTTACGACACGGATATATATCCGGGGGTGACTACGGAGTTCCATGCGGCGGCGTTCAGGTACGGCCACACGCACATACCGCCAGGCTTCTACCTGAGGGACAGCATGTGTCGGTTCCGACCGAACCCCATACGCCTGTGCAACACCTACTTCGACGCCTCGGTACGTAGGTAGAGAGTGATATTTACACGTGTTATTACGTAGGGTTACGCATACGTATCCTAACAGTGACCCTAACCATGACCATAACCTGAACCCTAACCGTCAGCCTAACCCTAACCATAACCCTAACTATAACCCCTAACCCTAAGCTTAACCCTAACCATAACCATAACCCTAAGCCTGACCATAACCCTAAGCCTGACCATAACCCTGACCCGACGTATTGCATGCCACAGCGTCCATATGTTATGATTAGCTCACGGATGGCTGTTCGGACTGCCTTACGTTATTTGCGATGATAGCGCCATTATGTTATATTCTTTTATGTCATTTTATATTATTATATAATGATTAGTACATTATTATATAATGATTAGTACATTATTATATAGTATAATAATACATAATGTTATTATAATTATTGTAATATTATTATTTTATGATAGTTTTATTATATCAATTCATTTCATTTGCTACGGTGTATAATTTCTTCGATGAGAACAAACGACAGTCGGCAATTCGTACGTTCGTAAAATTGACATTCCACGTCATCTCTCCTTCTCTCCTTCCTGCGAACCAGGGGGCGCGCGCGATGTAATAAGGTTTCTTTTACCTCTGAGTAATGTGTCGGGCGACGATCTGTCTCACAGCATCTTCTGTCGCGATAGGCTTAAAAATATAATCACCATGTTATTATATAGTATACAAATATATAAGGTTATTATAACAATTGTAATATTATTATTTTATGATCGTCTTATTACATTAATTCATTTCATTTTGCTACGTGTATAATTTCTTTGATGAAACCAGACGGCAGTCGGCAATTATTTGTAAGTCTCACCGTATATCTTCTGTCGCGACAGGCTGCTATAAAGATGTACGGCATCGAGGAGGTGCTGATGGGAATGGCGTCGCAGATTGCCGAGAAAGAAGACACGATTCTCATCGACGACCTGAGAGGTGAGCTTTATCGTCTGCGAACGTTTCGTTTATCTATAACTTATACGTAGATATATATATATGAGAAATGCAGATGCGGTGGCACAAATTCAATCACAAACTCTCTCTCAAGCGTGAGCACGCACGTACGCACGCACGCACGCACCTACGCACGCACGCACGCACGCACGCGCACGCGCGCACACACACACACACATATATATATATATTGATAGAGAGAGAGAGAGAGATAGAGAGAGTGAGAAATGCAGATGCGGTGGCACAAATTCAATCACAAACTCTCTCTCACGCGTGAGCACGCGCGTACGCACGCACGCACGCACGCACGTACGCACGCACGTACGCACGCACGCACGCACGCACGTACGCACGCACG